TCAGACCATGTTACCCAAGATCAAATTACACACAAACTGGAACACAGGAAGAAAACTAACGAGAAGGGATATGCCTAAACTTCAAGTCTAGTTTAAAAGGGACAATGCTTTGTCTCTTTATCTGCCTCAGTGTCACTATAATTGCAAAGGTCTACAGTTGTGTCAGATACACCATGGCTGGTAAACTACGGCTATTCCAATGAACAATCAATATTATCTACAATTTCCCAGAAAGCCTCCTACTTAAACTTAAGGGGGGAAAAACCAGCAGACAAAGTATTAGGGGAATTTTTCAAAATAAAAATAATTTTTTTAGAAAATATGTTCAAACTGTGACTCAAAATCCATAAAGAATTATGGGAAAGACTGAGAAACAGGAGTACATAAAAATAAACTTTTACACAGAAAAAATACCATAAGCAAAGTTAAAAGACAAATAACAACAGTTTTTAAAAGTTTAATCACAAAGGGTTAATTACCAAAATATATAAAGAGCTTATAAAGAAAAAAAGGGGGGGGGGGAATCTATAGAATAGAAAAACATAAATTAAAACAACACTGAGTTACCCTTTCTTCCATATCAAATTAACCAAAAATTAAAAGTTTCACAATACATTCTGATGACAAGGCTACTGAAATCAGACACTTAACATACACAGAAGGAAGAAATGCTAAATGTTTCAACTGCTATCGAGGGGATTTTAGTAACAGCTAACAGGTGACATATGCACTTACGCTTTGATCCAACAATGCTACTTCTAGGACTATCCCAAAGATACATTGGCAAAAATACAAAATAACATATAAAAATGCAAAATAACGAAGATATTCACTGCAGTACTACTCGTAATAGCAGGAAACTACACAAATGTCCATCAACAGGGGACTAATTAAATATTTACCCAATGGCATGCTGTGAAACTGTTAAAAAAAAAAAATACTTCTAGGAGGGCTCTACAAGGCACATATTATTAGGACAGAAAAACAAGATACAAAACAGTATATGTAAATAGATAATATAGGAAAGAAAGGTGCGTGTACATTTGCTTTCAGGTGCATTTTTTTATGAAAGGAGAAACCCAAAACTAGTACACCTATGAGTATAAAGAGGGGAAATAAACAGGGTGGAGGAAACAGGGATGAACCTTGTTTCATAAGTATTTGTTTTATGGGAACTACACTAATGTTTTACACATAATAAATCAAAATTTTTAAAAAAGCAGTACTGAAAAATTGGAAACAAAATGAAATAANTTGAGGAAATCTGAATCCTGATTAATATTGACACTGTGGAATTTTTATTTAATTTCTATAGGTGTAATGACAGCACTGTGGTTTTGTAAAACTGAAAAAACAAACCTAGCTCTTGGGGGGAAAAAAACATAAAGTAACATAAAAAATAGAAATTCAATTCGTAAAACCTTATGTTAATGTTGGCTTTAGCTGAATTTCAAGTTAGCTGACATTTTTTAAAAGTAGGAAGCTGTTACAGAGTGGACTACTGATGCTGTCACCATTCGCCACAACATAAATGAGAACAGGAAGGACTAAGAAAAGGTCTTCTACCTCTGAACGGGAGGAAATGGCATCAGTACAATCATCACATACAATTTTTTACAAATACTTTTACAACTTGAATCCACACATATTTTAAAGGGCAGTGCATCTAAATGTTTGTAAGTCTAACCCATTTTCGTTTCAGATCCTTTTTTTTACTATATCAACCATTGATAATGATATAATCAAAAGGCAAGGAGCTCGGAATAAAAATTAATTTAAAGGTCTGGCTGGTTAGCTTAGTTGGTTAGAGCGCGATGTTATAACACCAAAGTGAAGGGTTCGAATCCCTACCGACCAGCCGTGGGGGGGGGGGGGGGAATTNAAAGATAGAACAATTTGAGTATCAAAATTAAAATAATAATAATGGTTGCAATATGTTGAAACAGTCTAAATATATTAAGGTCTATAAGTTCATAATGATAATTTTTTTAAAAAGGCAAAAACCCTCATGGTTACCTTTGAAGGTTGCTAGGCCACCAACTCATTACTGTAGTCTGAAAATAGAGGGAAAGAATTAAGTATTTTTCTTGCCTTTCCTGTACAAACTGTATCTCACGGTAGTCAAATAGCTGATGAGGGAAATTTCTTCATAAAAGATTCCCAGCTAATCAATACTAGAAAATCACCACTTTACAACTCTTAAAGCAATAAAGGATATAGGTAACCTAAATCCATGAAAGGATTTCACCAATGAGTGAAAGGCTCTGGGAGAATTTGGCTGACAACACCTTTAACTAAGCCCACTACAATGCTCAATCTTAACATGACAAAAGGAGAAACAGTTCAGACATTAAGCGCCTCTCTGACAATTAATGAAACTGGAAGTACTCTGCACCACCACCTAGGAAATCTTCTCCCCACCATACCCCAACGACGACAACAAAGAAATCAAGGTTATATCTGATCAACTTCTAGAATAATGCTGATCAATAGAACTTTCTGCAATTATGGAAATATAACTGCACTGTTCAAACAGTAGCCACTAGGCAACCTGTGGCTACTGAGCACTTGAAATGTGGCTAATGCAATTAAGGAACTGAATTTTTAATTTTATTTCATTTTAATTAATTTAAATAGCCACAGCTGGCTAGTGGCAATTCTAGATCTAACCACTGGCTTAGGGGATATAAAGAATAGAGATACATTTTCAAGCATACCATACAATGCAATCAGCCAAACTTAGAATCGTAAGGAAAAACAGGGAGGTGAGGGAACCGCTATAGATTAAAAGATTTAAAATGTGTATCAACCAAATTCAACAGGAAGATCTCCTTGAGATTTTGGCCCAAACAAGCTAATTGTAAAAAGACATGTATGAGACAGTTGAGGAAATCTGAATCCTGATTAATATTGACACTGTGGAATTTTTATTTAATTTCTATAGATGTAATGATAGCACTGTGGTTTTGTAAAACTGAAAAAACAAACCTAGCTCTTGGGGGGAAAAAACATAAAGTAACATAAAAAATAGAAATTCAATTCGTAAAACCTTATGTTAATGTTG